GCACCTTGAAGACTAACAGATTTATTTGGGCATAAGCTTTTGTGGGTAAAAACCGCTCTTCTTCAGATGCAAGAAGATGATGTATCTAAAGAAGTGGGGTTTTTACCCACAAAAGCTTATGCCCAAATAAATCTGTTAGTCTTTAAGGTGCCACCAGACTCCTCATTGTTTTTGTAGAAGCATTAATGACATTTCTCTTTTTTAGTCTTGTGTAGTAAGCATGAAGAGAAAGCTAGCATCAAAAAGTACAACCGTTCAGACAGTGGCACTGTAAGGTGCCACCGGACTCCTAGTTGTTTTTGTGGTTACAGACTAACGTGGCTACCCCTCTGATATTAAGACTTCTGTTTTCAGTTTAAACCTTTGTTGTATACAAAAATAGTATGTGCCAGATGGGCTACTCCTGACAATTTCTCAGACAAAAGGAGCATTGGTCTGAAATTCTTGGAGGAGAAATCATGTGTGATGGGGTACACTCTGACAATAGATCCATAAGTGCTCTTTCTGTTTGACAGTTTTATTTACCACAGTTTTTCAGAAAACTACACTTTATTAGTTACCCTTCAGCCTGAAGTCCCATTGCACAATATTTGTATCCCAAAATAATTTATGTATGGATGAAGTGGAATCTGTATAGAGCATTACATTACCAACTTAAATTGCATTTTATTAAACAAATCTATTTAACAGTTACAAATATCATTGCTTATTAAAAACAAAAACTGTGTTCTCCATTTTTTTTGCCTTTTGTACTCCACTAGTTAGTCTCACTTCTGTTTTATAATCCATTTCATTTATAGTCTTTTTAATTTTTGTTTCTTGCATATTAGTACAACATTGTAGTATCTAGTTGCAAAGGCTCTAACATAATGTTTTAAATGTAAACAAAATTGTTTTCATTTTTTTATTATTTTCATGAAAAATTTATATTAAGTTTTTGTTTAAAAATAATTTATAAAACTTAAATTTTGGACTTAAATTACCAGACAAATGCCCCTTAGACAATATGTCGGATCCTTTCCTTTGTTCTTAGTACCAGAGATTAAATGAGCCTAAATCTAGGCAATTTTGGAGCACAATGCAAACCACATCTCGTTACTCTCCCACCCACAATAAATAAAGCTGAAGGACAGTCCCTCATCTCTTAGAAGACAGTCACCAAGTCTCACTCTGCTCGGAAAGTAATCTACTGGAGTATGAGGTAATTGCTTTTTAAAAGCATCTTTTTTCTTAAAAGCAGCTTCTTAAAAGCAGCTTCCTGCAACTTGGAAGAAGCAAAGAGCTGACCCCAATATGGAATCCACTTTTCATCGACACTTAATGAAATCTAATTACAGTACGAAGATGCATCAGTCAGAAGCATGATAGAAAAATCTGAGATAGTGATAGAACTGATGTTTTCTGGGTAATTAATAGGAAGCCTTGAGACTAATGATGATAGGTGCATAGAAATATATATTTAGAGAGAGACAGAGAGGAATAATATAGAGGACTTTTAATGACAGAGCAGAGATCGTCTTTGTTTTTAATTTGTACAAAAATGTCTCCTACAAAAGCTTTAAATCTGACATATTGAAATAGTGGGACTGGGTCATCCTGACAGTTTGGTAGCAGAACAATATGTTGCCATCAAGTCATTGTTTTGGCCCCAATCTCCTTTGATGGCAGGAGTTGAAAGTACTATGGATTCAGTATGTTCAGCTCTTGAGACATGGGAAAGCTCTTTGTGTTGCTCTTCCTGCTGCTGCATAGAGAATTTCAAAGCCCTTTGCAAACAATAAATTAAGATTGACGTAGGTAAGTGTATATACCCTGTATTACATAAACTGCAACATAAAAAGGTTGAGTAAGTTGCTCAAGACCACATAGAACATTAACAGAGCTCGAATTACAAGTCATGGTAGTGGGTTGGACACCTACCAGCCACATTAAAGATAGTTTATACAATATACATTGGTTAAATAATTTAATTAATCACTTACCTCTGCTAGGTTTCTCAGTGTTCTTTGGATCTGTGCTCCTTAGCATAAGTACAGAGTGAAGAATTATTATAAATTGATGCATTTTATTAGCCAAAATAGCTTTTAAAGCAGATTAAAAAAATTACAAAAAGCAAAATAAAGATGGTTAGATTCTAGTGTTCAAAGACAGAAAAATTGACCACAACGTGGAATGTTAGTTTTCAAGAGATAATAAATCAGTTAAATTAATTCACAGTTTTATCAAAATCTTCTTATAAAGGCAAACTTTTATCCTAGTTCTTTACTAGTAATGAGTGGGTGGGTGATTTGGCTATCAATGTGACTAGGTATACTTATTTATTTCCAATCAAGCTTATATGCCAATGGAATTATGGGACTGCTCACGTGAGTTCAACCAAGCAATTCTATGGTAGGATTTAGAAGTTTTGACAAGTTATTTAATTATCAAAGAGTGTAAATTCAGTTCTGAATTACCTTGTCCAGATGATACTCATAGCCAAGTTTTGCCACTGATACATGCACAAGACTGTCACACAGGAAACCCAGAACGTAACATGCAGGTAATAATTCTGAAGCTATTCTAACTCTTTTGGAATTTCATCAGTACCACCAGGTCTTACGCCACTTGAACCAAAGTTTCAAATAGTGGTTAAAATCTTTAGCTTACAAGACAATTCAAAACTCTTTTCTTCTTTGTCTAAGAAGTTGTCAGTTCTCTTGACTGCAAAATCTGTGATATGTAGGCTGAATGTTTAGTCTCTAAGGTGCCACAAGTACTCCTTTTCTTTTTGTGAATACAGACTAACACGGCTGTTACTCTGAAACTTGAAACACTTAGCACATCTCACAGCTAACTTCCCAGGATATCATCCCCCATCCTTGAAGTATGGCCTACATTCTTTGATCCTAGATGTGTACCTTTACATTTGGCCATATTAAAATGCAAATTGTTTGCTTGCAGCCAGTTTACCAAGTGATCCCTATCGCTCTGCATCAATGACCTGTCCTCTTCATTATTTACCTCTCCCCCAATTTTTGTATCATCTGCAAACTTAATTAGTAGTGATTATATATTTTCTTTCAGGTCATTGATTTAAAATGTTAAATAGTATAGGGCTAAGAACAGATACTGGCAAGCCCCCACTAGAAACAGACCTGCTCTATGATGATTCACTCTTTACAATTACATTGACCACATATGTATTTAAAATGGACAACCTGGTATTAACTATATGGAGTATTTTGTGGTCAGGTTGCTTAAGCAATTAAACTTTCTTGAAGGGGTCTATTACAGAATGCATTTAGATAGCTGTAATTTTCTAATATAGTTTCTTACATCTCAAACGTGTCAATTAAGATTTGTGTAATCTAGTAATAACATTATACTGTGCTGTATCAGATATTATAGCTTGAGCTCCTGTATCTCTATTTCAAATTTATAGATCTGAAGTATATACAATAGAAGAAAAAAGTAAAAGAGAAATTTACTTCACAATTTAGCAAGAGTTTGTAGTTAAGCCTATCTAGTTAGCTGTTGTAGTTACTCAAACCTGTGTGAAACACACTGAAACAGTATCTGCTGTTTGACCTGTTTGAAAGGATTAGGCCTAAAGTATGTCAATATTCTGACCTATGTTTGGATGTTTTTCTTACTAATAATTTTAAATGTTAAGCAGTTATAAACCGATATAGTGCTGTCTTTTTGAGTCTGCAGCTAGCCTGAAACAAAAGCTGTGAACTCCCCGCTTTCCAGTCACTGCCCTCCACCAATCTCATTCCCTTTTAATTTGATGGTGACACTTTACAGCTTAACATTAACTATTTCATTGCTGATCATTTAAGCTGCTAGGACAGTGAAGGGAATGGTAATGAAGCCTATGGAGAGAGGGGGGAGATTTGGGATTTACTCCAGGGAGAACAATGCAGAGGGACAAAAGAAGGAGAGAGATAAAGACTAGGCTGGGAGAGGAGAAATAGGGAAAGGAAGATGGGTCAGAAAGAGAAATAAAGGTAAAAAATACAGTGGTCATAAAGGGTAGCATATCGTCCGAATATAACAATATATATGAATACAACAGTAAGACGCTGAATAATAAATAGCTATAGGAAAAATTTGTGCCAAATTGTTCAAACCTGGGTGCCTAAAGTGAGGTTTGTAAATAAGTGGGAGTAGCAGGTAGTAAGCACTTCTGAAAATTAGGACACTTCTTTATTTGCGTTCCTAAATATGGATTCAGGAGCCTGTCTTTCGGAACTCAGATCTGAAACGTTTGCCGTTATTTATAACATTAAGGCCACAGTCTATCTACTCTAGCTCTTTATGCAGACCTCCTGTTAACATCAATGGGAGTTCTTCTGGATCAGACGTATGCAGATTTAAGTTTATACCACAGCCCATGGCCCATAATTAAACCTGGAATTAGTCCTCTACAGAATGACTTTGACACCAAGAGAAAGTCATGTCTGCTTCCTCAGGGTCAGAAAGAAGCTTGATACAGGCCTTTGGGAGACAGGTCAGCAAATATAGTATGAAAAACACTGCCAAAAGACTTAGATGGAAGAAAAATAAAGGGACTTTGTGGGTTTTTAAGGATTAATGTAGTGGAAATTAATTTAAACTATCGTTTACCATTTCATTTTAACCTACATTTTAAAGGATAACCATTTTCCATATCTTGTTAAATGTTCCTCTAACATGGCAACTTTTTATACAAAACTACTTTTAAAAATTGTAATTCAACAGAAATGTCTTTTTTTTTTTTAAATAGCTTTCTACCTTTTAGATACATCTTACTTGCTTCAGACAAGCTTCTTGCATGCAGTGTTTTGTTCCTTTAAAGCGTGGTGCTTAAGCCCTGGCATGAGACCTAGCTGGGCTGTAAAACTTTCCCTCAGCAGCTTGCTTATGCTTATGCAGTTAACCTTTCTGCAAGGGGTTCTGCTGCTTATTTATAGAGTTCCATTTTTCCAATCATAAAATGAACATTATATTAAGAGAGTCTTCTTTTTACCAATTAGGTCAAAGTCCTAAAATTTTAAGACCTAAACCACATGGTTTAGAGCGAACTGATTCACAAACCATAGGTGACTTTGCTACAAGAAGAAAGGGTATGTACTATAGCACTGCATGTTGTATGGGACTTTGTTTTTTAAAAAAAAGTATGTTTCTTTTAAAGGTTAAACTCTAATAAAGCACTGTCATTGCTAATGTTGTAATCTAAGATATTGGACACATTTTACTTACTAATCAAAAGTGTTTCCCATGCAGGGGAAAACATTCTTACATCCTGAATAGTATACGTAAAGATTTACCAGAAATTAACACTTACACATACAAGTTTTGCTCTGTTCAGTTTATAGCTGCTCATATTTCAGATTTAATTTTGTATCTGTTTATTTAGAAACAAGGGTACCATGTTACAAGGGTAACATCTACCAGCATGTTGTTTGAAATAACTTCTAATTAAGAGATAATATAAATGTCACAAGTTAATAATCTGCTGTTAGCTAAATGTCAAGGTGCAGTCAAAGAGATTGATCCTGTGACTATCTATTAGTACAGTGATTTCATTTATATTTTTAAAATGAGCATTATGAAGGTGGAGTTGGACTGGTTTATTGTAGGCACTAACTGTGTCGGTATCCAGTGCATTCACATGGGCTAGGACAAATCACAAATGTCAAACTTTTTTTTTTTCTTTTTTAAAAATCGTGCTTCATCGGGTGCATTTAAGGCCTGATTAAAAGTCCATTTAAATTGATAGACTGACTCTTGCTGATTTCATTGGGCTTTGGATCAAGACCTTACCACATTTCTAACGATACAGTAGTTGTACTTGGGCTGTTGAGTGCAGCTTCCATTCAGCCTCATGCCTTATAAAGCACTTGATCTGTGTTGATATCCATCATAGCCACTCATCCTGTTGTGTGCTTGTTGCTTAGGTAAGGTTCAGTTCTGCCACCCTAACTCACGTTGAGTAGTACCTTATTCCTTAAGTAGTTCACAGAAATAAATTATTGGGATTTTTTTTAATCAGTAGGACTACCTGATAAATAAGCTGCTGCTAAGCATGAATTAAGGTGGCAGAACCTTGTTTATCGTAAGTTATTGATGTATGCTGATACCTCTTGAGCTACTACATTTTAACTGCAGTAGAGAACAGTTTGGTGCGATTAAATCCAATAATTACTTATCTGTAACATTTCAATTAAAAAAAAACCATTTACATAGAAATCTGTACCAAGGGCTTACCTTCTTAGATAAAGTTCTATCCTAATAGTGCCTCAAAATAGTCCCCCTAGCTGTAATGAGTACAGTTCTGCTCCCCCTTATAAGACCACCTCTGTTAAGCAATTGATTTTTGTCAGTCCCACAAGTGGTCACTTTGACAGGTTTCACTGTGTATGAACTAGTTTTAAACTGGCTGATGTTTGATATTGGTAAGTAGGTTGGTCTTGGAGCAGTCAGATGGGCTGTCAACAATCCTGTGTAGCTGATATATAATTTTGTTTGTTTTGTAAAAAAAACCTCTAATAGCGTTCATAATAATTTCATAACTACCTTCTCAAAATAATATTTGTATTTTTAAATGGCAAGTATGAGAGAAATTAAGATTGTTGATAAACAGACTTCCCTATAAGTCTTGCAGTACAGAAATCCATTGTTTTTTTAGGGCTCAAAATCACTTATATTTAATTTCAGTTTTAGTTTAAGGTGTGGTTCTACTCTGAAAATTATGTAAAAATGGCACCTTACTCAGAATCCTATTATCTGATTAATGGTGCTGGTATGTTTTTCTTCTGCTTTTCTCTCAAGTTAAGCAGTACAGAGAACTAAATCACCCATGGAAGACTGAGCTGGATTCTATTCTGACTCATGCCTCATCAATTTTGTTAACTAAATTCCAGTTAAAGCGGGTTGGGCGAACTTCGGTCTGGGGGGCCACATCTGGCCCTTCAGACATTTTAATCCAGCCCTCGAGCTCCAGCTGGGGAGCAGAATCCAGGGCTTGCCCTGCTCATCACATGACGTGACTCTGCGGAGCTCCCGGAAGCAGCAGCATGCCCCCCCTCTGGCTGCTACAGGTAGAGGCAGCAAGGAGGCTTCGCACACTGCCCCTGCCCCAAGCGCTGCCCCCGCAGCTCCCATTGGCCAGGAACCATGGCCAATGGGAGCTTCAGGGACGGTGCCTGCGGATGGGTCAGCGCACAGAGCCGTCTGGCCTTGCCTCTGTATAGGAGTCAGAGGGGGGACATGCTGCTGCTTCTAGGATCTGCTTGAGGTAAGTGCCACCCAGAACCTGCACCCCTGATCCCCCTCCCATGCTCCAACCCCCTGCTCCAGCCCTGATCCCTTCCCACCCTCTGAAACTCTCGGTCCCAGCCCAGAGCACCCTCCTGCACCCCCAACACCTCATCCCCAGCCACACACCCCCACACACACCTCAATTCCCTGCCAGAGTCCCCTCCTGCACCCTGAACTCCTCATTTCCGGCCCCACCCCAGAGCCTGCACCCCCTCCCACACCCCAACCCCCAATTTCATGAGCATTCATCGCCTGCCACACTATTTCCATACCCGGATGTGGCCCTCGGGCCAAAAAGTTTCTCCACCCCGGAGTTAAAGGGCCCTCACTTTCACCTCTGCAGGCTTAACAATGGGATTGCAAATGTGTAAGTGAATGCAGAATTGGGTCTGCAGAGTCTTTATTATTGACAAAGGTCTATGATCCAAGAAAATATTTCAGATCTAGAGTTTGCAGGACTGGCAATTTTTAAATAAAAGGCTAGCAACCAATCAACCCTACCTTTTACTTGTGAACTGAGCCAATTTGATAAGTCATTGTGGCACAATAAACATAGAACCCTAGAGTGCCATTTTCAGATTCCCTTTTCAGAATAGAATCACATGTTAATATTCAGCTTTCAAAATTCTCTAATAGTGTTAGCACTCATTGCTAGCAACATCATAATTATTTTGGAATGTTTATAATACAGACAGTGGTTCAGAAACCTCTTTCAGAAGTGAACATTTCCTGATAAGTGTATTTTGGGGTTTATATGGAAATCTTTTACTCAATGGCAACTTAAAATAAACGTAATTATATTGATTTCTGTGCATTGTTAGCCTTAGAATAGCTGCTGAATTTGGATTTGTTTTCAAATGTTCTGTGCTTTAAGATTGTTGTTTGTTTTTTATATAGCAAAACCAGCTCCACTAGAAATAAAACCCCTGCCGGAATGGGAAGAATTGCAAGCCCCAGTTAGATCTCCTATCACCCGAAGTTTTGCACGAGAGTAAGTCTCTTAGCTTTTCTTACTTTAGAGGATTTATTTTCTTTTTACTGGAGCATTAATGAATATATCTCCGATCTTTCCTTTTTCAGCCTCTCCAGCAGAGACTGAGATTTCCTTTTAGAGAGAGAGAGAGAGAGAGTGTGTGTGTGTACACGCACGCATGCGCAGCCATGTGTGCAAGCATGTGTCAGATGTATATATGTGTGTTGTGCAGTATCATTTGTTAAATAAAAAAGAAAATGTATAACCAGAAAACTCAACCCTGGTAAAGCTGACAGATAAGAGTTTAAGCTCTAATATACTTTTTTTTTGTTTACCAGGAGTTTTAAAATATTCTAGTTTGATTGTTTGTAAAATAATTCCTGGTAATTAGCTCCTCCAGGTTTCCTATGTCTCCCAGACCGGATTCAGTGCATAGCACAACTTCCAGCAGTGACTCGCATGACAGTGAAGAGAATTATGTACCCATGAATCCAAATCAGTCCACTGAAGACCCAGTATGTAAAATCTACATCTTAACTACTCTCTTCCTGTGCAGTCCTTATTTTTAAATTATGCAAACACAAATCCTTCTTCCAGTCAACAAACCTTTCTTTACATTTTCTGCATCAAAACCAAAAACCATTTATCTCTGTAGAATTTTAGCTTTGTTTTAACACTGTGGCAGTGAGAAAGTTAAGAGTAGAGTTGTTCAATAAAGAGGAAGGTTAGTATGTCTACAATATAGGTTGAAAGTAAGACACCTTTTGAACAAAGTGTTTTAAAATATGTTCTTTCCCAAGGTCTCTGTCTCTTCCTTTCTGTAATCTTTGTTCCTGGGGCTACGTGTCAGTAAGTAATCAGTTTCAGTGGAAATAAATAATACTAGTATTCTCAAGCCAATCCAGAGGCCTTTTGGAAAAAAAAATGTTGCAAGTAAACATTGCAAGAAACATGGAAGGAACAAAAAAGTCATAAGAAATCTCCATTGATATTTCTTTTCAAGTTTTTCTAAAAATATGTATATGTTTATTATACTTCTTTTTAAAAAAAATAGGAGACATTTTATATACAAGATAAAATGTTAATAATTATATTGTCTACTTTTTTTTTCAGATAGCATTTTGCTTTCAGTATAGTCATCCAAGAAACTGTTAGCAAAAGTGAATTAAATTTCATTTCACTTGCTCACATCAGATACAGTGTAGAAGTTATTAGTTGTGTGTACATTTCATTTAGGTGTTCACTGAAATGTATCATGAGTGATACGTGTTTTACCCAAATAGAAGCAAGAATTTGCAGTAGCATTTTAAAATAAAAGGTTAGTACATTCCTAAACCAAAATATAGTTCAGAGCACCCTTGAATTTTGGGAAAGTTCATAATATCTGTAGCCAAACTTTTCAACTCAGGCCCATCTTAACTATTTTAAGTTTTTACATAGTGTTCATCACTTAGTATCTAAGTGTTGCTTAGATTCTTATTTAGTAGGAATTAAAATACAAATAGTAATACTTCAAAGCACTGTACAGGCATTAACTGATCCTCACAACAGCCTTGTGAAGGAGTTACTGGTAAGTAAGCAGTGGAATATCCCATTTGACAGCTGGAGAAATTGAGACACAGTGGTTGTGAATTACCTTCAGCCATGCAGCAAATCAGTAGCGGAATCAGAATTAGAAATCAGGCATTTCTGTTTCCTGATTCTGTGTTCAATACACTAGACCAAGATGCCACTTAAGAAATTCAATTTTAAAACTTAATATGTTTAATTTCATATCTAGAGGACTGGCCCATTGCTTAGAAAATTTTCTTCCGTCTTACATCTCTCATTCTTCTAGATTATGGTACCAAATCCCTTTTGTTTTCTTTTAATTATATTTTAAGACATTGTTTTTTGTTTTTAATGGACACATCCTGCTTGTGTAATTGTGTGAAATATAGACCCTTTTCTACATAAAGAGTAATATGCTTTTACACATGCCAGAAACAATGATACAGACAATGAAACTTGTATTTTATAAATGAAATACAGTATATATTTACAGTAAACCCTTTCAAAGAAGTTCCTAACAAACAACTCAGATGCTTAATTGACTCAGCTTTTTAAATCCTAGCCATTTTTGCTTGTCCATGTTACCTCCTACTGTTAAAGACATTGGTAATAGTGGAATAAATTGTGTAATGGAATTTTAAAAAACAAAACAGAACAACCCCCACTAAATTAACTCTTTAAGCATTGGGGAGGGGGCGTTTGCCAGTGATCTTGAGATGGCTACAAAGCTTTAGATTTATAAAATGCACTGATTATATAAAGTTTTTGGAAACTTTACATTGTTTTAACTACAATTTAAAAAAGGGTCCATAATTTTCTCATCCTTTCCTGTCATTGACTTTAATGTATCTTGTTCCTACATGTCATACTTCTGTTTAATTTAGTTAAATGAGCAATATTCAGCATTTTCTTTCAAGTTGCTGTCCGCCTTACCCTGTCTTTCCTTCTGCCTTGCTCTTCATTTTTTGCTGACTGCTGCCCTCTGTCTTCCTTTTTTTTTCTTTATCTTTTAGAGAAGAGTCCTTCTATTGTACTGTTCCTATAACACCTGTTAAGAGGGAGGGATCAGGCTGGGAGAGGACAGAGGAGGTGAGGTGGTAAAAATCTGGGCTAATTGAAAACTAGGTTCATGCAATACAATTTAGTTTATTTTAGGCAGCCCTGTCCAAATTTTCTAGTTAGATTAATCCTGCAGTTTTATCAACTGAATAATTCTTTTGGATTTTCAGATTAGTTGTTATGAAAGTTTTTGAATTAAATGCAAAAGGTTTTTTTCAAAACTTTACTGGTATTGTAAGGCTTAGTTTTTATCAAATGACTATTAATAGCAATACAGTGAAATACAAAATTCTTTACTTAAGTAATGTTAAACTCGAGACACAGAGTGCCAATCAGAAAATCCATAGATTGTCCTTAGCTCACTCGTATGTAGAAATTAGACACAATCTTTTTGGAGTGTCTACCTGAAACTTGATTTTTTTTCCTATCTTTTGACTCTGTGTCCCAAGATCAACATTAGTTAAACTTAATTTTTTTTAGAATATTGTTAGTTCATTAACAGTAGGCTATAAAATATGAATTATTTATCAGACCAGGAAATCTCTTTGATGAGTTCCCAAATCTTGACTCTGTAGATAGTATTTAATAGATTGAGCAAAATGTTCGAATGTTCATTGTTGTTGACTTGATTATTTTTCATTATAATTTCAGATTTTGTTCGGCAGCAACAGTCTTGATGGCGGAAGTAGCCCTATGGTAAAACCCAAAGGAGATAAACAAGTAGAATACTTAGATCTGGATCTAGATTCTGGGAAATCTACTCCACCTCGTAAGGTAAACAAAATGACTGTTTTAAAAAAAGGTTGATCTGATGTACAAACCTGAGCTGCGTGAAGAATGTGTGAGGTGTTGAAAATTTAGATTGGATTCTCTGACTCAATGAAAAAGAAAAGCAGCTCAGCAGCTTCGCCCTGATTAGCTAGCAGGTATCTATTGTGGCCAGTCATGGAAGCCATATTGTACCCCTCTGGGAAAGCTATAATATATCCTAATGACAGATTTGCATGGGGATTTTACCTTGGTCTGTCAAGACATGGTAAGAGAAGTCAAATCCTTGATCAACTTTACTCACCACCTCTTTCTGAGAGTTACACAGGTCTCGCGTCACATAACTGTCATGTAGTTTATCAGTATGGGAAGTGCCTGTGTCTACAACTTCAGTACACATAGCGACGTTTCGGTGAACTTTCAATGATTGCACAGTAGATCAAGTATTTTCCTCTTGGGATTTCTTCCCTGGAATCCCGAATCTTAGTATTTTATACAAGCCTTATCTTGTGTAACTGGGAGCTATTAAAATAAAATCTTAAGCAGGCTGTGTTTGTATCAATGGCCTGGATAATACTTAGTCCCGCCATGAGTGCAGGGAACTGGACTAGATGACCTCTTGAGTTCCCTTCCAATCCTACTATTCTATGATTATACCTTCCCCAGTCCTTCCCCCTCAGATTCCCCGACCGCTCTCAACCCTCATTTGTATTTTTTCAAATATCAGCAAAATTGCGAGCTATTATACGTGATCATCAGTGTTGCCTGCTGTCTTGTTACAAAGTGCAAGTTTTTATCAGAGATGTCTTTCAGAGTTTTATTGTCCTCTAGCTTAAGATTATGTTCAACAAAAACATGTGCAATATGTTGAATAGAGTAGGTAGTACTCTGTGTATGTAGTATTATTTTTAAAAAAATACTTATTACACTCATAGCTCTATTGCAAATGAACCTGGCTTCATTTTATTGTAAATATAGGTTAATGCCTTTTTCTCACTCTCCCCTTTCCAGAAAAAAAGCAGTGGTTCAGGGAGCAGTGTGGCAGATGAACGAGTGGATTATGTTGTGGTCGACCAACAGAAAACACTAGCACTGAAGAGCACGCGAGAAGCATGGACTGATGGGAGGCAGTCTACAGAATCTGAAACCCCAACTAAAAGTGTAAAATGAAAATTCTACTGTTCCTCAAAGAACAAAAGAACTGTCATTTATCACAATGAATTCTGATGAAATACAGAATCATAACTGCCATGTTGCTTGACTGAACAGTACTTGGCAATTCACTGGTGTGTAGCTTCCTGAATGAATAGATGGAAGTCAAAGAACGCTTAAAATATATCAAAGAACTCGAAGTCAGAGGACGTTTTAAATACATCAAAGAAATCTTAAAACCTTAAATTGTGCCCCCTGTCTCTGGATAATTCATCAAATGTAAATAATGTGTAAAAATGCTATTGCTTGGCTCCCAGAAAACCTTTTGTTCTTCATTTAACACATTTGTAGTATTACTATGTTTATGCACTTTTTCAGTTAAAATGTTGGTTCAGGTATTCCCAGTCAATGAATTTTAATGACAAATTCATTTTGAGAATTTTTTCTTACACTACTATACATTACAATTCTAGGTTAATTAAGCTATTTGTAGATATGGAAATTAATGTTTGAACTTCATTTTAACAACTTAGAAATGATTTAGCAGTCGTGTCACAATTTAATAATCTACTTGAAATGTCAAGAAATAAACGTTAGTTACATACTGTTTTTATATTTAATACATGCAAAGAATATTTGGAAGTCTACAGGTTACCTTCCGAACAAAAATTGCTGTGAGTTAATAATAATGAACTATATTGGTTTTAGGATCTAGCAACATGGCTTAAACATTAGTTATTAGTGGTGGAATGTTTATTGTATTTTATTAATGACAGTGTTCTGTGTTCATTGGGTGAAGATTCTGCAGGGTGGGATCTTACACTTTTAAGACTGAATAATTAATTGTCAAGTAAACCTGCAAACCACTGATGGCATGCAGTAATGTTGTGATCTCACACTTATTAACAAGTAGTAACCTTGATATTATTTACAGAAGGTAGAATTTATAAATAATCAGGTACGTACCAAGCACTGTTGTGCTAATACACTGATCAGGTTTAGACAATGAACTTAGTTTTATATTTCTTAGAAGTCCTAATGTTGGTTTTCAATTTGAAATTAATGGGACAGTTTGACATTCTCTGTTTGTAGTACTAGCACCATACTGTGATTTTGAATTAGATAGTAATTCAAATGGAAATACTATGTTTTGACACTATAGTGCCCTTTCTACAATCTTTATTTTACTTAATCTCCTGCTTTGCCTTATATTTAGATCCCTATGCAACTGATATTTTATATCTATTTTTTATAAAATAGATACTATACCTAACTGATCCCCTTGTTGCTTTTTCCTGGTACTGGATTTAAAGCTTTGTGTACTGTGATCCTTTTTGTTCACTATCCCAGTTCCAAATAATACTCTGCCCTGGTTTAGAACCATAATTTAGCTGTCAGGAAGAAAATAGATTTTCTTCAAGTACATAAATGACTTAAATTTATTAATTATATCTGGATTGAAAATTTACTAACACTTTTTTTTACACAGATACCTTTAAATAAACTATCTCTTTTTGTCCAGACCTTTTAAGTGTTGAATGAGTGTATACGTGTGTTAGTCTTGTTTTCTGTCATGCTGGCCTTAGTACTTTGCCTAATCTACCATAGGTTTTTTTCCAATTTACAGTATGTAAACTGTTTTATTCTTAACAAGGGTTCTTTTTAAATTAGTAATATTTTGATGCTTTGAATGTTCCTTTTTTAACAAAAAAACTAAATACAATGCATTTTGAGGTGAATTTTAAATAAATCAGATTGTTCAATTTTGATGTGTAAACTCTGTCCAATGGAACCACAAAACAATACAAATTAAGATATATGGGAAAAGTGCCTAATTACCAAACACAGTTTTTTCTGTGAAGTTGCTAGATTGTAGATACAATAAACAGTACTTCTAAAAAACTAAACCTAAAAATATTTTCAAAAGCAAGTTGCTGAGAAAAAACCCCAAACTGCAAAATTGGACCAAATTCCTGTCCCGTTGAAGCCAATGGAATTATTGCCATGGTCTTGAGAGAAACTAAGTATGAGCTAATTATAACTAGACTGTCTTTAAAAAAAAAAAAAGAAAAAGGAGCAACTGTATCAGGTTTCCACTCATGCACATCACTTTCAAGGACTGAAATGTTACTGTGCATAATTATTCTTGCTGGTGAGCAAACTTTCCTTATTCACCAGTACTGCAATTGAAGTATCTATAAGCAAAGCATGTGTTTGGTACTCCACGTAATATGGGGTAGTCTTATTTGGGATACTAATTTCTAATTTTTTTTTGTACTATTAAAGCAGAAATGGTGGGGTCTGATTTACCTCTCGCACCAATCCTTCACAAGTATACCGGACTTTAGAGGAGTTACTCCCGTTTTAAACTGATCTTAGTGGAGAATCAGACCTTTCATTTATTCTGAACAATAAATATGGTACTTATCAAAGGGCTACCATAAGGGGGCTCGAGGCCAAAATTGTACGCTTATATGGAAATACACATTGAGGAGGCCTCAAAACATGGGGTTGAAATTGAGTTTTCTTTTAATTCTCTTCAGATGGGAAAGTTTGGGGGTGGTGAGAGGGGTCACAGAGGTGTTTGTGAAAGAGAATCTCTCAATCCCCTGGAAGGGGATGCTGCTCTGTTCCTCCTTCACTCCATGACAGTGCGGCTCCGTCAGGATTGTGCACTATCAGTTTTTCAGTATTACATTTTTATCTCCAGTACTCTGCTGCTTAGTAAACAAGTAGCAATCTGAAGCTTTCCTTGACTCTTTCAACCATTTAAGTGCTTCAGGGCCAATTTTTTTTTAAAGCTGGGTTTCCTGAAGTTGTGCACCAATATCAATATATAGGTGTCTAAAATGAATGGTTTTTCAGAGGTTCTGAGCACTTGTGACTCCTTTTGATCTCAGTGCTTAACTTTAGGTACCCAAGTTTGAAAACTTTAGCCCTCTGTGACTAGACTTCAGGCATAGTTTGCGGTGAATGATGTATCTGGTATGCACTTATGTCCTCACTTGAGTTATAGCTTCCATTTTAGTAGACTTTTTAATTCAATAACATCCATAATGTTAGTTTCAATGAGCAAAAATTGAGTATTTTTTTGTTTTTTGTTTTGTTTTCCTAAAAGAGAAACTATCAAACACCAGTTTCCAGACGCTACAGATAGTGTGGACATAATGCTTTAAAAAATAATATTGGAGTGGTTTTCTTGACTGTGTTGGATTTTAATGTATTTTTCATATTCATTTTTGGCATTACATTATTGTCAGCCTGTATTGCCACAAGGACATTCAAAGAGAGGGTGGTATTAATACAGTATAGTGTCCCTCGTTTCTAATAACATAGCTAAAGTAGAACTGTATGCTGCCTATTTGTTGTCGTGCTCCTCTGTTCTGTTACTATGATTCTGACATTTTAAAATGTGCTGAATTCTAAATTTGGAGGAAGCAGAAGCAAAGCTAGACCACTGGCCTACTGTGATTTTCAGTTACTAACTCTATGGAGGCACTCAGGTACTACAGTAATGGGTGCTATTATAAGGACCTCAATAGATGTGACTGCAAAAGGAGTTTGTCTTGGCGATGTGTTATGTTCTTTTCAAGGACCAGGTAAGCTATAGATTGCTTTGTTGATATAGTATATTGTGAATTACTGGATGGATGCATCATTTATCACATTATTTACAATGAACAATGGTAATTTAAGGCATAAGGCAAAATCTATAAAATAAAGTAAATGCCACTTGAATCTAATCTGAGCAACTCAAAACTGTTTTTCAGTTTCAAGGTAAGAGTTGATTTCTTCTTAGCCATTGAAATTTGTCTCTAGCAAATCTTCTCACAATTTTCCCCTTCCTTGAGATGCTTTAGACACTAAACAGAACTCTGCCTTATTTCGGAAGTTTTTAAAAAAAGTATATATTGGTCTATTACAGAATAGAAAAAGAGAGACAAATCAAAAAGAAATTCATGCAAACTAAAAACTCTGGAGTGCCTAGAGTATTAAGAAACTGACTTCAAAAATTCCTGTATTTCAGTGTCACTGAATGTCGAAAAGTCAACAGTTTCTTTTCTGTTAAGTACTAATGGCCATACTTTCACAAGCTATTGCTTATTAAGAGTGTGACCTCACAAGCTGTTGAAATGTGCAAACCACAAAATCTGTGTGAAAGGCCTATAAGGGGACACTGATGGAAAAGGGTGGAGTGTGTTCATTATATTCTAACTCACTTCAGAAATGTACTTTGCACAAATACTTTAAATTTAGCTTTTTTAAATATTCTGTCCACTTACGGCAATTTTGAGACTGCCACACACACGGCTTAGGAGACAAATCATAGTCTTTTCATTTTAATCATGTCATTTAGATTTCATTGCTCCATTACCTAAAATGGGCCACAGGCAAGTCTGAAGACTTCTCACTGCATTCTGAGCTAAGTGAGATTTTTATCACGAATTTAAGGTTCGCTATTGCTGATTGCATCAGTCAATTGTGTTCAAAGTATTTCTGGCTCTAAGTAGAGCCAAAACTTGTTAGTGTTACATTGCAACCTTACAAAATTGTCCTGAAAACTTACCAGCCCAGGGACAAGTCTTCTGTCCCCTTTTTTATTATTAAATTTTGTTTATGAAAAACAGAATGATATTTACTTGCCCATTCCAAAAAAAAAAGAAAAAAATTATCATGCGTGTTCGAGCGAATACAGTTTTGCAAGGCTGTTGTATTCTAACTGAATTTGTTTGGATTTTTCCCTTTAAAATCAGAGTAACTGATTAATATCCAAAGGCAAAGTGAGCTTTGGAAGTGTACCCTCAGTGCTTTCCTCATTTGCTCAATGGTCCAGGTTGTGGCACTGAACACTTTTAGAAGGGTTTCTTTCTTGCCTGTCTTCATTATTGTGTGAAAATATTAACCAGATAGCGAGTTCTGAAAAGTGCGTATTTTTTGCCTATCAAACAGTTACACCCTTGGCAGAAAATCATTTTAATTGGTGCAGATGAAATATAGAGCCAAGCTGTTTTTTAAAACTGAATAAGCAGCTAGGTATCTCAAGGTATAGGTCTCAACCTGTCAAGGGCCAAAGGGGGGAGACAATAAAAATGAAGGAAGAAAGGTTGAGATGTGTTGATTAATTTCTTTTACATGACTAGTTTCCCACAATCTGTTTTTGTGATTCAGCATTTCTGATGATGATTTACAATACCAGAAGTGGGATGACAGCAGAGGGTGGGACATGGGACTAGCGGAGAGGTGTGCCATCAGATGAATGGATAACCTACTTCTGTTAGCACTGGATTTTACTTTTAGTTTCTCCTTTAAAGAAAATCTCTGTGAACATAACTGTCAAGATTTCATTTGGGAATTTGCTCACAGAAGTAACAGATTTATTAAAAAATTATTTAAAATTTAAATTACCTTGAAAGAGTTTATTGCCTATCCTTTTTCAGATTAAATGCATTTGGTTGACTTTGTTCTCTAGCTATTTAAAATGAATTTTGCAATGTAATGTGTACACCCAAGAGATAATAAACTAAAAGCACTTTGGTAAATTCAAATTAAGCTAGTGTTTCTTATGCAATATTTGACAGCCAAGAGAACTATTTTCCTGTTTCTAAACCATAGAGCATTAACCAGTGCCTTTCCCTCTCTATTAAAAACCAAGAAGAAAATCTTACAAAAACAGAATTAATAAAAAGGTAATTGATTTTAGCCTAATAAGAAAAATTTCTCCTAAAGAGTATAAAATATGGGCATCAAAGGTGCTAGAATGAAGACTGTCACATTTAATTTTCTAGCCACCTTTCAAGTATAAAATTATTACCCACAACTAATCAGCACATTTTCTGTATATTTTAGGGTATTTAATAACACCCATCAGTGTGTTTTAGCCCTTCCCATGTAAATTATGTCTGCAAAAAAATAAAATGAGAACTCCCCATATGGTATATCCAACTTGAAAAGGGCCCATGAAAATTTGAAAATTGTTATATAAAAGGTTTTAAAATATGCTGTTTGAGGCTCTTTTCCAACTGCCCTTGAGTGGTGTATGTGGGAGGAGCGGAGAGGGAAAGGGCAGTGTTATACCACATACCCAGATGCCTTGATTGCCCTTTGAGATATGCTGAAAGCCGGACTCCTTCAGCCACATAAGTGTAATATGAAATAGAATCATACTTCTCAAAGTGTAACTACTGCTTTTACAAATGATCTTACATTATAAAATAAGAGAAATATAGATAGTTTTGATTTTGGAACAAGAGGCCTGTGTAGACTTAACATTTTATCTAAAATAGTTTACTAAAAAGCATGTTTTAATGTTCAACCTTCTATTTTAGAAGCTTATCTACAGACAAGGGGTGCTGATGTTTAAAATTCTGAGCATTGCTACTGAAAGTTAGAATTTTAATTAATGTGGCTAAAAGTTGTTTTGCTTCCACTTCTACTTAAATTGGCAAAATGGGGGGAGGACATTAATATAAATAATGTCCTGGTTTTGCTGATTTGGTACCAAATTTCCAGCACTAACAGACTTTGAAAATCAATAGGTTCCTAAATGATGTATTCTTTACTTTTTAAATACTTTCATGGGTGGTATTCAGAGAGAAAATTGGCTCTTTGTTCCCTAACCCGGTGGTTTTCAAACTGAGGGTTGTGACCCAGTGCTGGGTCATGGAATGTAAGGCACTGGGTCGCGGCGGCTCTGATCAGCACTGCCGACTGGGCCATTCAAATCTCGTCAGCGGTGCTGCCCAACTAAGGCAGGCTAGTTCCTACCA